ATAAATCACAACACATAATAACATGCAATTACCCTGGCATATAATTGTAAAATACTCTGTCACATAATTCTGTTACCACACCAGGTAAAGTATAGTGAGAAGACTCACCTCAGATGTCTCGGTAAATCTCTGACTCGGTGGAAATATGATTTAGCCTCCGCCTAATCACATAAAGTAAATATTCTCATAAATATAACTCTCGGGACTAGACTCAACCCTCTCTAGGCACCCTCAGCAGGCAAAAGACCATTTTACCCCTCTTTTAGCTCAAAGGCCACATTGTTGACCAAGCCCTAAAAGTCAACAAAAGTCAATGGTCAAACTTTGACCCGATTCGTCGAGTGCACTTGGGCGACTCGGCGAGTCTACACGTGTCCACTAACTCTTTAGTCCCGCTTGGCACGTTGAGTTCCTCCCCTTGCTCGACAAGTCACACCTAGCATGAATCGCGGGCCTACCCCGACTCAACTCGTCGAGTCTCAAGAACAACTCGGCGAGTTCCGCCTTGAACTCCAGTCCCCTAATCCCCCTCCGAATCACTGAGTTATTTCCCCAACTCGGCAAGTCTACTTACTGAGTGATTTACAGGAAACCCTAACCCTACTCGCCGAGTCTGATCTTTGGACTCGGCGAGTTCATGCCATGCACAAACTCCATAGACCTCCTGAGGTCAGATCTGTTCCATTAATCCATATATCCGACCTTCCCAAGCATGCTAATCACGTAAAGTTCAGACCTTGACACACATATAACATCTAGATGGTCTCACTTGGTGATTTAGCCCCAAAAATAACATCCTAAGTTCATGGCTCCCAAAATAGCTCATAAATCTCCAAGGGTTAAGATCTCTGGACCTCTTTGAGTCCAGATCCAAAGCATAAACTCGAGAGGGGACCAATTGCTCCACATATCCATCCTCTAAAGGGGAATAGAAAACCCTAACTCTAAGAATCAACACCAATCTGAAGAAGGTCCGAATAAATACCTCAAGATGAAGTCTATGAACTCTGAAGTCACCAGAATCGCACCTCCTTCAGCCTCCTCTTGCCTTGTTCACCTCCTTCTTGCAATTATACCAACAAAATGATCAAGAATGGCCTCTCCTTCCTCACAAACGCTCTAGATCTCTTATGGTTTCTCTCTGGGGTTTGGTAGCTGCAAATGATGGCCCTAAGGGCCTTTAAATAGGTCCCAAACCCAGGAAATTAGGGTTTCATTAAACAGAATGGACTCGCCGAGTCCACTCATGAACTCGTCGAGTCTAACTGTGAACACGTACACGAATCCGCGACCATACTCGGCTAGTCTAAACACCAACTCGCCGAGTCCCCTCCCAACCTCCAAAAATAAAGGAATAAATAATATACCTGGGAATATGGGTGTTACATCACGAGTGAATCATGATACGATAATATCTTATATTCTTCAAACCTAGAGATATGAGTTGTTGACTATGAGTTAGTTATACATTGATTGTACGTAAACGCATTAGTAACTTGATGTTATAAAACACGCCTTTGTATATGATTCAACACGTAGTTAGTACAAGCATATGAGTCGAAGTTTAACCATTCCTTTTACCTCATAAGGATAAAAGCGATAACTATGGGCCCCTCGATGATTTAGTGAAGACACCCTAAGTGCTTGGCCAAGCCTGGACTGATTTGATTTATTCAATTAGTCAGTTGTCATAAATCGAAAATCAGGAAAAAACAAATGGACTGAGAGAATGATTATAATCCATGTCTTAATCTATATGATATCTAGAATGGAGGAATATAAGATCACTTATCTAATGGACGCGTCATTTGATTTGTTCAGAGTTCGGCAGCGGCTTTAAGAGCTACGATTGCTAGTTAGATTATGAAGTCGTACTTGCAATAATAGTTTAAGACTTATCCAAGTGGGAGACTGGTGGATATGGTCCATTTATTGGTATGTACTTGACCCGAGAGTAGCATGGTCCATTTAGGTTGCATATCATCAGGGCAATTTGTTAGGATGGACTTTTGAGAGAAGATGTTGGATATGGTTTATTAATATATTATAAGTTATAATATATTAATATGAAATCATGTGTTTTAATTAGTATTGATCAAGAATTAATTTGGAATTAATTTAGTGATCAAATGAGTCTAATTAAATCTATGGGGACTAATTATGTTAATTAGTTATATTTATATGAGTAGGGCTTATGATCCATGTTGGACCAAGTTTATGTATGGATACATAAAGAGTTGGGCCACATGAACCATGGATCATTAAACCCATTGGTATTGATTTGGGTTATGGGTTATACCCATGAGTCTTGGATTCCTCACACATATAAATAGATGCTTCGAGCCTAAAATTTGTGACTGACTCTAGTCTTAGAGTTCATGAGGTTTTTGGTGCATGGAGATTCTCGCTCAAGTTCATTCTTTGTCTATGATGTGTTGTGATTCCACTTGAGGCTTCCAAACTATTGGGGCTAAGCTCTTAAGGCTAGATCCATGAAGACTTCAAGCTCCTCCATAAGGTATGTTATCCTAACTAGATTCTTGTGTAGTATATGATATTTGTATGCTAGTATAGGGTAATACCTTGGAAACTCCATATTTGCATGTATAATAGAGAAAACATAGATCCAAGGTATTTAGGGTTGCATGTACACCTTAGGAGTGTTAGAATGCTCAAAACCCAACAAGTATTTTATAAGAAGTATACAAACATTTCCTACGTACCAGAAACATTATCACAATAAAAAACCTCGATACAACTTACTGTTGTCATACATATCTTTAATCACATTAACATGTCATCTACATACTTTTGTTTTCTTTATGAACCAAACTTCACTCATTGTATCTTATATGCAGTACATCAATGAAGCATGAATACCCAGTAGCTTACTTACAACTCATGCGTTTGAGTTTTTAACAACTGCAATGGAAACCATTTATCAGACCATCTTTATCTTGTAAAATCGTACATTACATCACACATTCATTTATGTGTTTTTGATTTCATCTAAACACCTATTTTTGAGTCAAGTGTTGGGAGTAATATGTCAAAGAAGGAGTTGAAGGAAAAAAGAAATGAGAATGGTTTTTATTTCTTAGCGCATCTAACTATTCCAAACATATACAACCTTTATACATGCTTACAAGAAAACTGAAACATAAAACACTTTCAAAAGAGAATCAAGTCCACAACATTATAATATAGCCCTTATTCAAAACTAATAAGTTCCACATCATAACAGACCCAAATTTCCAATTATGTCTTTGAATCATTCTTCAACATTCCCCCTACAAAATATAGCAAGAATGAAAGAATAAAACATCATACATAGAACATAATTGGGACTGGGAAAGATCCAGGAAAACATTTACATGTAAACCATCTTTTTCCATAGCAAGCAATAATGGCATGAGTGCAGGTGAGACTGGAATTTATAGCAGAAATGGTCGACCCTCAGCTACATAAGAATACAAATTCCATAAAGAATAAAAACATATAACATAATTCATTATTTAGGCCATGCTTGATACAAAGGAACATAGAAGAAAAAGAGAACTACATGCAGGGAAACATGCATATACATATGATCTAATATGCATATGAATGGGGACAAACTCTATTTAATTACTTGCAACAATTATAAGATGCAGGAATCTTAAAAAGGAACAAGGTTTCAATATAATCAACATCTAGCTACCATTCTATTGAGTTGAGATTACTAATTACATGGAGATGTGGAGTTATAATAAATTAAGAGGATGAAATATAGACCATATATAATTATATATCCAGAATGAAGGATCAAACAGTAAAAACAGAACACATGACTATCAAAGATCCCACTAGCATATACCTGAAACCTTTTGACCCAATATTGATATACAAGACTTGGTAGATTGTTATCACATACTCTACAGATGAATGGGGACAAATCATGTGGTCATGATGACCTAGGTAGAGGTGTTTTTCATCTCAATTTCCAAAATTTGTGATGCACATTGCTTTTAAGCTACAAAAGAAGAAAATAGATAGGTGTGAAATGGACAAAAAGAGAAAAAGAAGGAATCTAAGGATTATGATTAGTAACATTTGTGAAAAAGGAGCATAAACAAAAGAGACAACTACTACATAAAAAAAATTGCATGTCATGTGTATTCAAATCAAATGATTTAGGTTCCATGACAATTTCGACTCTGATCAAAATTGATGAACCCAAACAAGAGACTATAAAGTTTAAATAATGAAACATGGTCGTTTTGTATGATAAATAACTAAAAATCACAAGGCATAGCATCATAAACCTTGATGATATGTCAATGGCATACATATTTTTTGATCTAGATACTTGTGTTTTCTTTATGAACAAAATCTCTCTCATAGTATCTTATAAGTTATATCACTCTAAAAATAGCATTCAAAAGTCTTTTTCTCTTAACATGGACACATACATCGGCATAGACAACTTAATTTTCATCCTTAATCTTTTCCCAATAAGCTGCTTGCAAGTGTGATTTAATAATTACGATGGAAACAAGTTTTCCAGCATGATTAATCTAATAAAGACCTACACTACACATTCTTTTGGGTATTTGTGAGTGTCATATATTAGTTTTGTCAGCCATGTCAGAAACTGGATTATATCTTAGTATATTATTTCACATAAGCTATGAAAACAGCAATCACCTAACTGTGACACAAATACGCCTACGAATCCCAAGGGACCAACATTATTTAGTTGTTTCTCCCTCTAAAAACATAAATGTGTAACATCGGAGCAATAATTACAGGATATTTTATTAATTAACTTCAAACAACTAAACAGTGACACAAGTAACTGATGGCTTACAGTTTACAATCACAAGCAAGGTGGATGTTACAAAATCCTATTGTCACATGACAACTAGCCAACATGGGTGAAGAGGAATCTATATCTATTTTAATTGGAACAACAAACAAACTCAGAGGCATCAATAGGCATCAATCTATGGCAACTTAAATCACGTAAGAGATATGGAAATATCAAAGACATAACAAAGATGACAGAGATGCCACCAAAATAAAAAAAAACCTATTCTTCCCAAGCGAGCAATAATGGCATAAACCGAAGGGGGTGGAAGACGTATTGTAGAAATGAAATGTTCAGCTGCAGAAGCCAAACCATAAAAGAGCATGCTGGTAATCGCCACGTTGACGGAACCAGGGTGCGTGCGAAAAGGGAATTCATATCCTTGCGACTTGATTTTTGCAAAAGTATATAAACCAACTATAATGAAACTAAGTGGTGATGGGAGCATGATTACAGCTTCTTCCCCAAATATATGTGGGTGATAGTTGATCCAGAGGACACCGAGAGGTTCCAATTGATTAGCGATTTTTAATAAAATCATGACGGCGAAATTCAAAGTGGAGTGTTTGGTTTCTAAGGAGGGTTCTACCTCAACGATCACAACTTCTTCAGCTACGGGATTATCCATGGCGAAAGGCGTCGTCGGTCTTTTGACTTTTAAATGAAAAAAACATACTCCAAAAAGCAATATATCTTATGTACTTATAAAGCTAGCATTTTTTCTTGAATTTCATGCATTTGAAACCCCTTTTTTTTAACTTCCTCAAACCACATTCATTTGAAACCCCTTTTTTAACTAATGAAACTCAAAAGTTTTCTTAATTATGATTTAACACTCAAAAGTTTTATAACTTATATTATGTTTAATGAGCATTTAGTGAAAAATTTACTATAAAAAGGTCAATCTTTTGTCTTATATAAAATCTTACATGTAAGAAGGAAGTCATAAGAAAATGAAAAGAAAATTTTTCATGTTGTATTCTCTTATTATATATGTAGTTATATTAGTACATTTTTCTTACAAAAAGTCGTCATTTGGTTGAAGATATTGTGATTCAAAAGTTTTTATATAGTTGAAGCAGTCATGATCCAAACATGATGATTTGAAGAAATGGGTTATGTCGCATCGATGGTAATTGTAATATGGTTTTTTCTTTGAACCAAAACAAATGAAGCTTTCCTATTATTTCTTTATTTTTAGTTTCTCATTTAATCTTTATATGTGATTTGTGTGTATTACTCAATCTTGAATGTGACTCTCCAAACATCAATGTTTTGCTTGGAATATCTTTCTGATTTTTCTTTTTCAAGAAAAATATTTTGATTGCAGGTTCGTGGAGAATTGTCATCAAGTTTCTATGGTTGAATGGTGTTAAATGAAGAAAGAAGATTCAGAAAACGGATATAGATTTTTTTTTGAGCCAAGTTGACGAATGTTAGTTTTATCTTTTGATTTAAATGTATGTTTATGTAGCATATTTACTTATAGATTCAACCACCCAATGCTCTTATTTATTTGATTGTAGTTTTTCTATTTTAATTATGTTTATTTTATATTATTATTTTGTTAGGTTATCCTACACAATATATTTACAAGACAGTATTTAAAAAATAACAAAATTTTTAACATTTGATATGTAATTATGATAGACTTATCATGATATGTTCTTCATATGAAAGTAATTTATCCATATTACTACGACAAGAATTACATATGAAATTTACGAATATATATATATATATATATATATATATATATATATATATATATATATATATATATATATGTGATTTGTTTAACATGTATATGCACCTATGTATGTTATAAATTTATAATTAAATATCTTTATGTTTAATAATTGAAGAGATTAAAATGATGCATCAAAACCAATTATTTAGACGAATATAATAATAATAATAATAATAATAATAATAATAATAATAATAATAATTACATATTTCCAAGTACCGCATTACTTTGAAACTCACACTACAACTCAAGAGTTTTATAATTTATGTATATTTATTAGTTATAACTCAAGAGTTTTTAACTTATGCTTATTAATTAGTAATCACTAATAACTTTTTTCCTTTCTTTTATAAGGTTGTAAAGTTTTGCTCATTAAAAACATTAATGTGTTTGAAGAGATTTGTGATTTAAATATGAAGAGTTAATATAAATGTTATAATAGATGTTTTAGTGTTTTTATGTTACAAAGTTGTAGCGTTTATTTTTCATATTTTTTATTATTCGTTGTATATATCTTTTTTAATACAAATGTTATAATAGATGTTTTTCTATTTTTATGTTACTAAAAATTGCAGTTCATATTTTTGTTCATACGTTTTGTTACCCGTTATATTATCATTCTATTGATATATAATTCACACAATTTTAAACGGTTTATAAAACTATCAAATAATTGTATATATCACAATGACTTAAAAATTAAACTATAATGTTTAATAAAAATAATATATTAACTATATGTATGCTTTACTACTAACATTTTGTTTCAAAATAGAAATATTAAATAATAATTTGGTAAAAGTTATTATTTTAACTATATAATTCTATTCCCGCTCGTTCGCGGGGATTCGCCTAGTATATTATAAGGATAACTATAGAAAGTGCAAGGAAATTGGATGGTCAGGTTACGCCATGTGTTGCATTTTATTTTAAAATTTTTGTTATATTTTAAATATAGGAAGCTCTTTCATATTTTTAATAGTCACTAGGCATTTTAATTTAATTACAAAAACATCCTTTTAATTCTGAAAGAGGACATAAAAGTACAGAAAAATTTATGAAGAACTAGAAAGTGATCTGTGCTTCGCGGCGGTCCGTTTCTTTTTTACTTACTTTTATGTTTACATATATCAGTGTTTGTTTGAATTTTTTTTTTCGTTTGTTTTTTCTATTTTGTGTGTATAATGTTTTGAGGAAAGTAAGTCCGTATACTAGAATATTGAAGGTTGGGGACCAAAAACGCCAACTCTACAAACAAATGTGGCAAACACTTTTGGTGTTACATTTGGTTGTCAGGGACTAAAAATGGCAAACTATTGAATCTTTATCTCTAGCATTCTTATATAGATATTAAAGAAGGATCATCCTTAGGAATAGTGAACTTCTATGTTTTTTGGCAGAAATAGTCCTTTGTTTATGGGTATGTGTTCTCTTATGGTTTTGTTGCTACCGATTTTTGTGTTGGGCATTTTATGCCATTTTTTCAATTCTTTATGGACACGCGTTATCTTCACTGTTTTTTCCCCAATCAGCTTTGGATTTGTGTTATTCTATTCCATGTTAGGCCACCACCGTTTCTGGTATCTATTTCCAAGAAGAATCACATCAGGTTACCGATCCACTGTTCATTGGTTAACCGCTTCACCGCCTCTCACCGCCTCATATATGTTGATGGTCATCCTTTCTACTTATTTTCACAGTTACCGCCTACTACTTGACCTCCCTGTTTCACCTGTTTCCCTCCGCTTCCTCTCAAACCACCATTTTCTACTCCTATGGAATCGACTTCCTTCATCTATCGATTTATGCTAAGCAACAACACATACCGGTGCTTTTTTTGGTGATGGTACGACGACGTTGGCTGCTGTGGTGGCTGAAGTTAATCATCAGCCGATCAAATTACCCCCATCCATCGGCATAGGAGCTAACATCATATTAGTTTTTGTTTGACTCCAATGGTCTTCTCTGATTCTCCGTTTTTCTCACCGCCCAATTCTGATTTCCGACGAGACCCAGTTCGATTACACGCTGATGTCGATCTTCCATCGATTCCTTTCCTAACGCTTTTAAATCGATTGGAAATTGATGTTGCCTCTCTTCGTCTTCCATCATCCGCCCATAATCATCGCCCAACACCATCGTCAACAAGTACCTGCTTTTACCATATTTACACCAACAGTTATCAAAACTTTTCTCCAGGTGCGCTTTCCATCATCTCCTCTCTCTCTCTTTCTGAAATTCCAAGCCAAATAAGATACAAGTTCTGTTGATTTCGATCAGAAGGAAACTCCATGCATCACTGCACAAGCCATTCATCTCTAAGCCACTAGAATCGACTTTCTTATTGTTGAACTTTTAGGTTTTTCCTACTTTTATGAAATAATTACGATTTCACATGTCTCAAATTGGAAATTGATTGTGTTAGTTTGCAGGGTATGTCTTTTTGCGACGGCGTGGGATTACTTTTAGGTCCATCGATTTCACTTATAGGTTTCATCGAAGATAGGAGGTGAGATTTGTTCCCTAAAAACACCACATAACTACGAACAAAGAGAAAATATGGGAGAAGAACAACAATTTCAAGAAGTGAAAGCGAACAAGGACTTAGTTCAGTTCTCAAAACCAACTATACAGTGGTTAAAGTATTTTGGCAGTCTATACATGTTTTGCAAATGGTTCGCTATAAAATAATAAATGATCATATTGACTTGCTTCCCCTAGCTAAGTTATTTTTCAATTTACTCATCTTTGTTAATTAAAATTTTCATGTTTCAACATATGAATCTTGAACTTTTCATACAAATTCTTATCCATTTTCAATTTCTATAACAACTTTCAGTGTATGTGTGTATGGGTGGAGTACAAGAGGATTCTTGACCTTCAGGTGGCAGCAACACAAGTATAATTGAGACAATTCCATCCACATCGACCATTTATTTAATAGTTTATTAGGAGTTGAAGATGAATTTCTTGGCTGATTAATGGGATTTCTTGGGTTCTAACCCGAATTAAGAAGCTAGCTAACCGTTTCTTCATCTTCCATTGTTATTTCTTGATATATGTAGTTAGGTAGTAATGATGAAGGGTGGCAATGAATAAAATTTTGGTGCTTCTTTTTTACTTTCAATTTACACACGCCAACTGTTTCATATAATGCTTGTGTGAAGGCTGGAGTTCTTTATCAAAATTTAAAAGTGTGTAAACATGATGTATGGTTCTCTCTTTATTTCAATACAAACTTGAAGTACTTATTTCTTTCCCACTTCACGACCAGGAATTATTTTATTAGGGAGATGTTTATTTGAGCCATGTTTTGATGCCCTTTGGAAGACCATCAACAACTGAAAACAATGCAAGACAACAAAACATAAGTATTTTTTTCAAACAAATGATCAGGTATCTTGTTGTAACGCCCGTAGATCCGGGCTACTCAATTTAAAGACGATAAGCATCAAAAATGACTTTTTGATATAAGATTATGTAGAATGAATAATCTTAACGAAGTTGTAGTGGTCATGAAAAGGATTTCGGATATATAAAGAATGCCGAAATCCGAGTTATAACGAAGAAGTTATGACCTATCGAAGTTTCCCGACAGAACCGACACGACATAACGCGACGTAAATAATGAATTTACGATAGAGTGATATTTACCCTTAGCAATCTAAATGAAAGTCATAGAATACTTTAAACTGAGAGCGTGCATAAAACGAACGTCCAAATCTGACTTCGTATGAGGAAGTTATGATTTTTCTAAGTTTCAGCTTAGCAGTATGCAGCCCGAAGTTCAATTTTGAGATCGGTTGAGTTCTAGTCGAAACAATCTAAGCGAGAATCGAACATCTCATTGATAGTAGTGCAACGGAGAAAAGACAGTC